CACAGCTGCTGGTGCCACTTTCTTAAGATCTCCCCCCTTCACGAATGAGCCCATGCAGATGTGCAAAGCAGCAGCCCCGCGTCAGAGGTGAAGTCACCCCCAGTGATCTTGCTGAGTCCCAGCCTGCCATTGGTGCCACCTCGCCACAAGCAGCCACCGAAGCACAGCTACTGGGTACACGTGCTGCAGAAGGTGGCCAGCGGAACTGTGGATGGCCAAAGCCATGGCCGCCTATCCCCATGAAACCCTTCACTGGAAAGGTTGGAGACTGGGAGATGGCAACCCTCTGGAAATTTAGTCTGTGACCTGTCCCCACCCCCATGTCATCTGCACTGTAACATTCATCCCATTCACCTGTTTGCTCTCCTGCGTGTGAGCAACTTGTTGGAGGACAGGCCAAAGATATGGGCCAGGCTTCGGGATCCACACTGTGTGAGCTCAGAAAGTGTGTGTTAAAAGACGTGGGCAGACATGTGCTTCAAGGGCACCTATGAATGTCTGCCCTCTTCTTTAACAACCCCAGCAGGGGACCTTCCATGATGGGGACCATGGGAGGCCTGGACACACAGATAAAACAGGACATGACCCTTCCAGGGCTCAGGCACTAGACAAGGGGTACTAAGACCAAAGTGCAGGGAGGGGAAAAGCCCTCAGCCTAGAGGAAGGGAAGGCTTCACAGAGGAAGTGATGTTCCAACGGCCAACTGCGCTTTAAGAGGAAAAGTCAGGAAATGTGCCTCGGAGGCAGGTGAGGTGGAGAAGAGCCTTGGAGGCACAGGGAGGAGCACACAGCCCAGAAATGGGACAAGAGGGGTATCCAAGCACAGACTCGATTCTGACCCGACTGGGAGTTCCCCACCATAACGAGGGGATTAAACACAGTACCACCCTCCTGGGGTTGTCAGGAGGATTAAGGAGTCAGGACATATGAATGGCTAAAAAGGGCGTAGCAAAGCTCAAAAAGTTGCGTTTTTACTTGTATTATTATTCCAATATCAGGAGACGGGGTATTTAATCTGAGAACTACTCTCTTAAAATACCAGGCTATTAATGTGGAAGACTCCTTAAGATATATTCCAATTCTCTGCCATGACTCTTGGAAGCACTATTACCTGGACTTGGTGACATCCCAGTTTATAAATCCTATCCTACAAGGCACCTCAGGTCATGATCTCAGGTCAAGATCTCAGCTCAGGTCATGATCTCAAGGTTATGAGTTGGATCCCTGCATCAGGCTCTGTGTTGATGGCATGGAGCCTGCTTGTGATTCTCTCTCCCTCTCTGCCCCTCCCCTGCTCATGTTCTTTCTTTCTCTCTCTCTCTCTCTCTCTCTCTCTCTCAAAATAAATAGATAAACTTAAAAAAAAAAAAGTATTATAAATCCTACCTGAAGCAGTGCTTCTCAAATAGCCCCAACAAAAGCACCCCTGATTAAAGTCAGGGGAGAGGAAATGCAAAACTCCAGGAATCTGGGAATCGAACCCAAAGCAGCCTGCCACAAACAAAATATTGTCTTTAAGTTTCTTGTTAGCTTAAACTCATGTAAACTTTGCATTCCAATCTGTAATAGATCCATGACTGTTTTAATACAAAAATGCTTAAAACTAAGATGGAAGTGCTTAGAAGATGCAAAGACCCCTCTTAGTCGGTGGCTTGGACTACCCACAGCACAGGACCCCTGCAGGGTCCAAGAACCCCAGATGAAGAAGCACAGTCATGGCCTTAGCATTCTCTTCTGCAAAATGGGATTCTGACCGGTATCTGTGAGATCAGACAACATGTGAAACCATGAAGCAGAGCGCCAGGCGACACAGCAACACTTGGTACAAATGCTGAAGCAGAATCTTCGGGATGAATTATAATGTGCCTTCGAAACCCCACTGATCCATAAAATTGCTATTTGTGGGTATCTGGCACTCCTGTGCCAGGCACCGGACTAGCTCCTCTACCCTGTTTCTAATTCTGCAAAATACTTCGTATCCCCATTTTACTGGAAGAAACAGAGGCTCAACAAGATCAAGTCACAAGTCCAAGGCCAGGCGACTGGTAAGTGGGGGAGTCCAGACAACAACTCAGCTCTGGCTGACTCTATAAAGCTGTGCTTTCCACCCTACCGTAACACCTCTCTGTTTACTGGGCAAGGCTCAGAAGAAGGATGTTTCTAAGAAGGACTTGCTTCGTGGGGCTGAATTTGAATTTTGACCTTGCTGTTTCCATGTAAATTCTAGTGAAAGGAGCTACTGGTGGACAGCCACATTCTTCCCACCCGCAAGCAGAAAGGGGAATCAGGGGGTGAAGCAGAAGCCGCGCTGCTGGCTCCCAACACCCATAACCCGGCCCAGAGAGACCCCTGAGCCCACTCACTTTTACTTTCATTTTCTAGCCATCACGACTTTCCCAGAAGTGAATGCTACAGATGTCAGCAAACTCCCGCCCCGAAGAGTACTGACTTGGGACTCATAACTACCATGGTCCCCAGAGGCCGAGGAGATGGGGGTCATGGAGGATAGGAAGGTGGTGTGGGGGTGGGGAAAAAAACAGAAGCAGAGGAGGGCATCAATGAAACGGACGCTGAAGGGTCTGCAGTGGGACCCCTGCCTGCTCACCCTGCGTGCCCATTCCTTGAAGCAGCCCGAAGAAGGGCCCACTCTTAGGGAAAAAGAGGCACGTGGATTCCTAAATCCCAAGCCCCGGTTCTACCACCTTCTAACCAGATGACCTAAGGCTAGCTACTTTAAATTCCTTCAGCATCATCTCTAAAATGGAGATACAAAATCTCATGATCTCCCAGGACTCTTGTAAGGAACAGGTATGAAAAGAACTTTGTTTCTTGGGAGGATCATGTGTGAAAAAACCCTGCAGCTTTAAAATGATTTCTAAAAATCCATCGTTCCCACCTCTCCATTGCATGAAGGCAGAAAAGGCCAACTAGTTGAAAGAGGCAAGAGAGGAGAGGCTTCTGTGGCACACAGAGCCCTTCCTCTTTTTGCCAAGCAATGTCAGATCTCTGCTTGGACTCTACAATCCCTGGATACCGGAAGCGGCTGCCTGACTACCGGGGGCACTGATGCCTTCCACATCTCTCTGAAAGGGAGAGCTTCTCCTTCAAAAACCTGTTTCAGAATTCTGGCCGGGAGAGCATGTCCAGACAAAGAGGGTCCCCTCAGAAGGCTGGCAGCCTCATCCTGTGACTCTCAAAGAGTTCCAGAAACCACAACCCTCGACAGGCGAGATAAGTTTGGTCAGAGACCGATGGCCAGTGAGCAGTCAGGCCTCTCCAGCCCTGCCCCTCAGAGGCACAGGCTGACCAGATTAGAGAAACTAGACTGGCCACAGAAGTCTCCAATAACCTTCCAAAGAAGACCACACTAGTGGTCCAACTGTTGACCCCAATAAGGTAGGCTTTTTTGTTGTCCAATAAAAAACGAAATGAGTGCATCCCAGGTCTAGCTCAAAAGTTTGTAGGAGTGAGACACTGGTGACTGACTGTCCAGAAGAAGTCAGAAAAGGTCTCAAGGCAAAAAAAAAAAAAAAAAAAAAACAAAAACGATTAGCACCTGTAAGGGCAGTAAAGACGGTGCAGAACACTGAAGAGCTACAGAAATTCCCAAAGACTGCATGGCCTTTCCTCCCTTCCTCGGATGTGATAGCAAGGGTCAGTCATGGCCTCAAAGAGTCAGGCTACTCTCGTTAAGGTACAGTCTTGGCCTGTACTTTGGCCACATAACAAAGAACCTCCCAGGCTGGTCTGAGACAACAGCCATTTCACACACCTAAGTCCCAAGCACTAGACAAGGATCAGATGTCAGTACAGGCTGCCTCTTGGAAAGGCTGGGGGGAATCAGCCCTTTCTGGCATGTATGGGAATCCCTTGGGCTACAAAAATCAGCACATCAAGAAGCCAGAGGTGCCACTGTGCTCTCACCTTGCTCCTCTATAATCTACAATTTGTCCAAGCCCAGAAGGGACTAGAGAGGCCCTAGGACTAGAGTGGCATAGACCTGTTGATCAAGGAGATGTGTGTGTGTTTGAGAGTGGGAAAGAGATGAGCCAGGACCCTTTGATTCCAGATTCTTAATTTTTGGTCTTTTCCCTCCGCCCTAAAGACCAACAGACAGCAGTCCTAGGAGGAGCAGTCCCTCTGAAGCAGCTTGGAAACCACTCACGTGCTCTGGGAGGACAGGGCTGAGCCTGGAGCAAGGGGGAGGGGGAGAGGGGGGAGAGAAAGAAGATAATGAATGGGCAGATCCACCCAGATCTGTGATCTGTAGCTAGGATTAAGCAAACCTCAGCTAAATTTTTCAGAGGCAGGAAGAGAAATACACTCAGAAAACACAACTAGGGAACAATATAACTAGAGGACAGATATGGGGGTGGAGGGGGCAAGACAAGAAGGCAGTTCATCCCTAAAAAGTGGCCAAGACTTCAAATTCTGCTGAGATCCTGGCTGGCTCCCTGGCTCGAGGAAAGAGGGGAAGGGAGGAGCTATGGGAGCCTGTGAGAGTGGAACGCTGTCACCCAGGACCCCTCCGCCCCCCCCCCCCCCCCCCCCCCCCCCCCAGGAAATCGAGATAAAATTTCCCTAGGGCTGGAGGGGACAACTGTTTTTGTGGGACGGTGTGGGCCGGCGGGGAGGAAAACCGCGACAGACAGCACTCCTCGCCACCTCTATAGAGAAGGAAGACCGCCTCCTTCATACCTAGCAAAGATTCCTCCAGTTCTGGGAGCAGAGGGAGCAGAATTTGGGGTCTCTCTCTCCCACAACTGGACTGGACAGGCCAGAGGAGAGCCCTGGGGGTGTCCCAAGGCTCATAAAGGGCCGGTTAGAGTGGGTAAGAAGGGCCCCCCTTTGGCCCGACGCCTGGGGAGCCCCTTAAGAGGGGGCTACGGGTCGGGGGAGGGGTCACTATCCCCCTAAGCCGGGGTTGGGCGGGAGGAAGTGCTGCCCCGAAGAGGGTTCAACGCGAACGAGACACTGGGTCGCGGGACAGGCACACTCACGGCGGCTCCGGGGCGGCGGCGTTACTTGGGGCCGGGGCTCGGACAGGCTCCGCTCCTCTCCCCCCGGCGGTGTCCCAGGCTCCGGCCTCCACTTCCGCCTTTCAGCCGCTCCGGATCCGGATCTCCACCTCAGACCCGCCCCTCAATACTCCTAGGTGACTGACAGGGCGGAGAGACCAATGGGAGGCACTCTTGACCGATTTACAGGCGACGCCTGTGGGGGGCACGGGCGAGGCGGGAGAGCGCGCGCGAGGGACGGCGGGACTTGTAGTTCAGAGAACTGGGAGGAGCCGGTGGCCGCCTGGGACTTAGGGTTAGGGTGGAGCCCGCTGCCGGCGAGGCGGAGCCCGGCCGGGAAAATTTTAAAGCCAGGGCTGCCAAACGCGTCACCCTGGGTTCCAGGAGCCCCGAGGGGAGGCGGGTGGCAGAGCGCTGGAAGAGGGCAGACGACTGTGTGAGCAGAATTGGGAAAGGAAAAATATGGTGTGAATGAATAATGCACATGAGGCCGCAGTCCTGAGCACTGGCTAAACCGGAGAAGCCTCTGTCTGCACAGAGCTGCCAAGTCAGCTCTGGGAGCCCGACTGTTGGGGACATTCTGTAATGAGGAAGGTGACGGAAGTGCTATAGGAAGGGTTCTCTGGAGGTGAACCAGAGAGATCAAAAGGAGAGCTCCTGCCACTGCTCAGCCGTAAGCCAGGACCCTCCTCCTTTGGCTGAACATCAAGACACACCAGGATCACCTCTACCTCTGCCTCCCCCGACCCCGACCCCGACCCCGACCCCAAACCAGCTCCTGTCTCTGATGCCAAATATGGAGCCGGACTACTTCTGCTTTGGCTCTCCCCATCCATAAATACAGATTAGAACCATTTCTGTTTGCCTCCCCCACCTTGACCTCCATATGGATCAGGACTATTTCTATTTTTCTTTTTTCTTTTCTTCTTTCTTTCTTTCTTTTCTTCTTTCTTTGCTTCCCTTAATGTGGATTAGGACCACTTCTGTCTCCGCCCACCCCCCTCCCCCAACACGGACCCGTCTCTCCTCTGCGTTTGCATCCCACTCCCAGGAATACTACTCAAAACTTGTATGGAATCAAAGCTCAGTCCAGAGACAGCTGTGGGCGTTGTTCCTGTGACACCTGCTGACACCAATCATACTTTGGAGCCTGAGCTGAAGAATCAACCTGTCTGGGACCGCCTGCCGCAAAACTGCCCACACCTAGTTCCATCTGGTCACCAGAGCGCCGCTTTCTAACAATAGCCGTAACCCCCATTTCCCCACCCCTGCATCCCTGCAGTGATCATCTGAGAAGTGAAAGCTAAGAGGGAAGAGAGGACTTAAGAGAGCAAAGGAGACGGGCAGAGTGGAATTCCTAGCAGGTTCTTGGCTAGTGACAAGCTTTTCCCCCCAGACCCTGCTGTACCTAGCCTGTAACAGGTACAGGGTTGGTTATACAAGATCAGTGGGGCGTCCCACTGGCTACCTTTCCAGAGCTGGAGGTGGGTCTGAGTCAGGACTCTGTGCCTCTCGCACACTGTGTCTGAATCTGTGGCTGTCATGGGTGGGAGGAGGAGGGGTATAACGGGCCCGCAGTGACTCATTAAGGTTTCTACCTCATCCCTGGGGCTTCTGGTGGCGTGAATGTGGTGCCAAGTTGATTGCTCGGCGCCTTTGCCCTTCCTAGAGACAGCAACAGGGCCCTGGGGTGCGGTGGGGAGTGACTGCCCTGTAGGCTCCTCCAAAGCCCTGGAGCTCTCAGACCAACCCCCAGAAACAGCCAGAGCCAACAACTACAAAAATAAAGCATTTATTTCCTATCCAAAAGTGAGCCTTGGGTGTTGGGTGGCAAAGGAGAACTGGAGAACAGGGTGGGTTTGTGAGAAGTCAGGGCCCTGAGTGAGACCGTGTTGGGTGTGGGGAGAACAGGCTCGGAAGAGGTCTGGTGAGGGGAGGGGTAGGGAGTGCCGTGGGGACTGTTTCAAGTTGCTGGCAGCAGAAAAGACCACCTTCAGGGACAGCCTGCAGAAACAGAAACAGAGATGTTGACAGGCCCAGGCCCAGGGGTAGAAGCTGACATTTCTGGGCCCAGAAAGCACTCTCTGGAGCACAGGAACCCAGAGAGGACACTCTAAGGCAGGAACTGCAAATCCAAATAAATACCTACAGAGACCAGACAAAGAAGTCAAAGGAGGGAAGCCAGCTAAGTGTCAGGAGATGATCCAGAAACGTGGGGACTGTGAAAAAGTGGCGGGCACAGGCCCCATCTCAAGAGGACTGCGGCCACTCGACACCAGTGGATTATCGCCAGGGGAATGTTGGCCCAGGGTTGCCAGAACGCCCCAAGTTTTTTAGAGAAACTGGAATATCTGGATATTTGTGTGAACTCTGATTTTTAGTGTCGGCAACTCATTCGTATTTTACCGCGCGCGCGCGCGCGCGCACACACACACAAATCTGCGAGAACCGAAGAATACATATCTGGGGGCCACCCGTTTGTTTCTTGCGTGGGCTGAGGGATGGGCTGAGCCCCTCCAGCCTGGGCTGGTAGGGGGAGGTCTAAGGAGTCTTGGGCTCCTCGGATGCCAGCTGCGATCTCAAACCTACCTGTCTCAAAGTGACATCGCTTCCAAGGTGTCCAGCAGAATCCAGGGGCTGGGATAGAAGGCCTCACAATATCACTAAGCTTTCTCTGCTGCAGAATCTGCAATCTGTCCCTCTTGCCTTAGACACCAAGATCCTGCCTGCTCTTGCCTCAGTCTTCGTGGGCTTGATCTGGGACCCTCCCCCAACCCCCGGTGCTCCCTGGTATCTACCTGCCTCCAGATCCTGGGGAGAAAGCAGGACATGTCATCTGCCCAGCCGGATCGGCACTGCATTCTGTCTCATGCCTGTTGGGTTCCACAGCCTCAGGCGGCTCCCCCTCACAGAGGGGAAGGATACGGGAGGGTTTAGAAAAGGGAAGAGGGTCCGAAGTAACCAGGCTTTGTTAAAAAGTCCAGAGAATGCAGAGCCAACCAGACCAGCCGGTGGCTGTTGACCGGAGGCAGGAGGCCAAGGGGCCCAGTCCCTCCCTGGATGGCAAGCAGCAGTGCCCACCCCAGACGGGCCTGGGCCCAGGGCCAGGGTCAGTGGAACGTGTCTGACCTGGACCGAAAGCTGTGCTGCATGAGGCTTGGGGTCGGGGATGGGGCCTCTGGCACTGGGGAAGGTCCCAGAGGCTCAGGCTCTGAGGGGAAGGGGGACAGCACGGAGAGCCTCAGGTTGGAGGGGGCGGCCCCCATCTCTGCTGTCCCCACACTGGCTGGGCAGTGGACCTCAGCAAAAGTAGTATCCTGGAGGCTGGGCGGTGGTCCAGATAGGCAGGGTGAGATGCGTGGAGGCCTCAGCTGGGGACCACGAGGGTCTGGGAGCCGAGCCGAGACTACTGGGTGGACTGGGGGACCCAGCCTAGCCTGTAGCAGGCCCATGATGTGTCGAAGCTCCCGGCTCAGCTGAGACACTTCCTGGTTGAGGCGGGAGATCTGTTGAAAACACAACAAATCGTTTCCCAGATGCCACAGCAATCACCGATCTCCCGGGTGCGCCCCCCTCCACTGTGTACAAAACTCTTTCCCAGCCACTCCTGCTCACGGCCACTGCGAGAAAAAGGCAGGGCAGGGGTTATCTTTGTCTAGATGTAAACACTCAGCTTGTTTCCAAAAAGGCTTTGGGAGAGCAGGTATTGCTATCCCCTCTCCTCCACTTTTACAAGAGGCAGAAAAATAGGCTCAAAGAGGCCACAAAGCTGGAAGTGACAGACACAGCAGCCTTACTCTCAGGTGACCCCCGCACACAAGCTCAAGCATCTATTCAGTGTTTTGCAAACTTCAGGGAATACGAATCAACTGAGAAACTTGTCAGAATGCAGATTCCTGGGCCCCGCCCCAGCCATTCCAAATTGGGTGAGGCTCAGGAGTCTGCATCTTAATGGTGCTGACAGACACTCCAGTGTGGGAAACACCACCTAGAACAGTGAGCCCAAGCAGGACTGGCCCTCCATCTGGCCCAACAGGGCCTGGTCCCGCCCCCCAGCCCCAGGGGCTGCCCTCCTGGGATGCAGATGATGTTTATCAGAACCCAGGGAAGGCCCACTCCCTAAGGGTTGGGCCTGACTGTGCCCTGACGACAGCTCAGAGATCCCCTGGGAGGAGGCAGACGCAGAGCCTTGGCATACAAGATCTGGGCTCTTCCTGACCAGGGTTTAGACATGAGGATCCAGGTCTCCCAGGGCTGAAGGCCTCTCAGCCTCCCTGTCCTCTGACCCCTAAGTTTGCTGAGCATTCCCTTCCCAGGGCTGGGGAAGGAAAAGGACTTGGTAGGGGGCAGGTCCCTAAAGGAGAGAACCCCACAGTGGAGGAGGGAGGAGAGGCTGTCTTTGCGGGCTAGATAGCCTGAGCCAGCCGGGAAAGGGTGGAGGCAGCAGGCACTGAGTACTTACCTGTGCCAGGGGCTGGGCCAGGCATGTGAGCACTCTTATATCATGCTCAACAACTCTGGCAAAAACAGGTTATTTTTCCCATTTTTCGATGAGGAAATTGAAGTTTGGGGTGGTTGTGGGACTTGCCCAAGGTCACCCGGCTAGTGTGAATAAGTGAACTCAGGACTCTGGCTCCAAACCCTCAAATGCTCTTACATACGAGGCACATCGCTGATCCCAAGATGCTATCTGCCAAGGTTGGAGGGAAGGAGTCAACCCCAACCTACCTCCTGGTTTAGCCTGCAGACCTTTTCCTTCATCTCCTGAGCCTCAGTGGCCAGTTCCTGGCTGGGCCTGGTCCCTGCAGCCAGAATGGGGTGGAAGGGTGCAGGGTGAGTGCAAGGAGCGGGAGTCTACGGCTTGGACTGGGTCCCCTCCTCTTGCTGGGCAGGCAGAGAAGAGAGGAGAAGCAGCTCTGGGCTCAGGATGATGGGAAAGCCAGACTCTTCCCTGCCCCTTCCCCTGACCCCTGCCCCAGCTGTACATGCAAAAGCTTCTCTTTAGCATCTGAACACAACATGCTCTTCTCTCCTGCCTTTATCCCAACAACTGCCTTGCTCCACCCCTCAAACTCCTACCCA